GTGGGCTGCCAATGTGGAGATACTCCAAATAAAGAGTCACTATTTTGTGTTGAGGTTCAATTCAGATTACAACAAGAGGAAAGTATAACGTGGGCTACTTTTGTGTACATGAGCACAGATAGCAGGATAAGAGTGAAGCAGTGGGCCAATTTGGTGGAGCTTAAGGAACACTGGGGGGACAAGTGGTGTGTGGTAGGAGATTGGAATGAGCTCACTAGTGTGGAAGATAAAAAGGGTGGTAGGCCTAGAACAGAGAGGAGTTTGGAGGGTTTTCAGACTTTTATTGCTGAAATGGGTATGCTGGAGGTTAAATTGCAAGACTACCCCTATACTTGGGGTAACAATAGGGAAGCAGAGGGCTATGTTGAGGAGGCTCTGGATAAGCTTTTTGTTTCTTTGGAATAGCTGAGAAATTATCCAAACACCCAAGTTACTTCAAAATTTAGACATTCATCAGATCATGTGATGTTGGTGGTGGAAGCAAACCTAGCTGCCAGGAAAAGTAAGAGTCGGTTCCACTTTGATTGTAGATGGGTTAAAACTGATGGTGTTGATGATGTAGTTGAGCAAACCTGGAAGGAGAGCCAGTCAGGAACACCAATGTATAGAGTTAGGGAGAGGATAAAGAAAACCAGGGAGGCTCTACTGCTATGGAGTAAGCACTTCAAATCAGAGAGGGAGAGCAAGATACAAAGATTAACATTAAAGCTAGAAGAAATGAGAAATGCAGCTGGTGATAGAAACTGGGCAGAATGGGATCAAATCAAGAGAGAATTGGATCAGTCTTATTGTGATGAGGAGACATTTTGGCACCAAAAAGCCAGGATTCATTAGCTTAAAGAAGGAGATAAGAACACACAGTTCTTTCATGCCTATGTCCTTCAACAGAAGAAGCAAAATGCAATCAACAGATTGGTCACAGAACAAAATACCATCTGTGAATCAAAGGAGGAGTTGGAAGAACACATAGCCTCCTTCTATGAGAGGCTTTTTCACAAGTGAAGGATCAACTGGGGAACAAGAATTATTTCAAAACATTCAACCCACAATCACACCACAGATGAATGAAGAATTACAAGCCCCTGTGAAGGAAGAAGAAATCAAACATGCACTTTTCAATCTGAGCCCAAAAAAAGCACCAGGAGCAGATGGTATGTCTGCTTTATTTTTCCAACATTTTTGGCCTTTGATTAAAATGGATTTGTGTGAGGCTATTGAGAATTTCTTCTCCTCTGGCAGATTGTTAAAATACTAGAACCACACACTTATTTCTCTTATTCCTAAATGTAAAAATTCAGTTAATATAGGCCAGTTCAGACCAATTAGTTTGTGTGGGGTGGTGTATAAACTGATTTCCAAAATCCTAACTCTGAGATTGAAATCCTGTTTACATCATTGCATTGGGCAAACCCAAGCAGCTTTCATTCTTGGGAGGCTCTTGAGTGACAATGTAGTGATAGCCCAGGAGGTCTTTCATGTTTTGAACAAACATAGATCAGGAAAGCACAAATTCATGGCAGTAAAATTAGATATGCTCAAGGCATATGATAGAATTGAATGGAACTGCCTGAATCAGACCATGTTGAGAATGAGGTTTCGGCTTAAATTTGTACAGAGGGTTATGACTTGTGTTTCTACTTCCTCTTTTTCTATGTTGATTAATGGTGAACAATGTGGCTATTTTAAGGCAACAAGAGGATTGAGACAAGGTGATCCACTGTCCCCATATTTGTTCATTATTGTGTCTGAATTATTGTCTGCCCTTATTAATAATCATGTGGATAGAGGTCAATACAGGGGTGTGGGAATTGCAAAAAATGGACCTGTGCTGTCACATCTATTGTTTGCAGATGATACATTAATCTTTTGTAAGGCAGATCGACACAATGCCAGGGTGCTCATGGAAATGCTCAACAAGGACAAGCTGTTCTCTGGTCAACAGGTTAATCTGGCCAAGTCATCAGTATTTTTTAGCAGAAACACTTCACAAGAGCAAAAACAGGGTGTTTGTGTGGTACTGAATGGAATTCAAATGCACAACTCCACCAGGTATTTGGGTTTGCCCTTTGGCATAGGCAAGTCCAAAAGAGAAGTCTTCACCTTTGTTGTGGACACAGTGAGAAACAAGATGACCAACTGGAAAAACAATTACCTATCAACAGCTGGTAGAAAGGTGCTTGTAAATGCAATCCTAAATGCACTACCCATCTATGTGATGACTTGCTTCAGATTACCAGTGACTATCAGTAAAGAAATCTCAAGCTTATTTGCCCAATTTTGGTGGAGCAGAGGAGAAGAGATCAAAAGGCATCCATTGGAAGAAATGGCAACTGGTGATTATACCAAAAGATAAAGGTGGTCTGGGATTTAAAGATGTTAACCTCTTCAATGAATCCATTTTGGTCAAGAAATCATGGAGAGTGGTCACACAACCTGTCTTATTAATGAGCCAAGTGATAAAGAGCATGTAGTTTCCATCCTCTTCTATCTTTGAAGCAGTTGTGACCCAAACTTCTTCTTGGCAGTGGAGATGCTGGTGGAATATTAAGAACCTGTTGTAAGAAGGCCTCAAAGTGGAAGTGAAGAATGGAGTTCCATTAAAAGTGCATGACTTTAATTGGATCCCTGGAGTGCAAGGGAGAAAGCCTCAGATTATAAATGAGGTTGCACACAATCAGATGCAAGTCAAAGATCTGATAGATGAAACAAGAAGATATTGGAATGTACAGAAGGTGGTAGAGGTGTTCAATGAAGAAGACAGCAGGGCTATTCTGGCCATTAACTCGTTGAACCCAACAGATGAAGATAAATGGAGGTGGCACTTGGGAACAAAAGGCAGATTTTCAGTGGCTGCATCATACTCCCTTTTGATGAATAAGAAGCTGCTTAGTCTTGATCTAGCAGAAGGTAGTGCTACAGCAGACAGAGCAATGAGAGTTAAATTGAGAAGCTGGAAAATGAGAGTACAAGGCAAAATAAAACATTTTGTGTGGAAATGTTTTAGTGGAATCCTTCCAGTGAATGTGAACGTCATAAAAAGGGGAATTCAGGTAGATGTTGTTTGTAGCAGCTATGGAGAAGAAGCCGAGACAATTGAACATGTCTTTTTCAGATGCAGACGAGCAAAAGAAGTATGGAAACATGCCCCAGTGAGTTGGGATGGTATGTCTACAGAACAATGCAGATTTAAGGACTGGTGGGGCTTCATTTGTTCAGTAGATAATTCAAAATTTTCAAAGGCAATGATTCAACTTACGACCTATATATTATGGTGGCTCTGGAAGTCTCGCAACTTGTGGAAGTTTGAAGGTATTTGGAGGCCGGAGAGGCACATTCTCCGGGCAACAGTCCAAAATTAGACTTAATTTGTAGCAATGAGTTCAAGGAGCATCACACAGAGCTAGTTAGGTCTGCTTGCAGTACAGTGTGGCTCAGTTCTGTGGGTGGTGTAGCATGTTTAGTATTTTATTTCTGTTTTGTTGATGTACTGGAAGTCCCAGTTGTCATAGACTGCTTCTGGTATGGATTGTATTTTGTTATGTCTAGGCCATGCTACATGAAGCATGAGTCTCCCTGACTTTATAGTCTTCGGTTTTTTTCTTTTCCTTTGTTTTGGGTGCTGATGCACTTGTATATATTTGAACATTGTAAGTTGTTGTTTCCATGTAATGAGATAACATCCTTCCGAGAAAAAAAAAAAGAAAAAAAGATAAAGAGTTCCACCGTGTGATCAATCATGTTTGGTGAAGTTAAGCTGGTTCATTTAGGAGCAATCAATCAATCATCGTATGTATGAATTATGTATACATCTATATATCCAGTTGTTTAAACAATGACTCACTGTCTGAAAACTCTTTAATCATATATCTGTAAATCACAATCCCATCAGAAAATGAGACATCAATTGGGTCCATTTACTAGTGTTTATCAAGTATATGCATGCTTATTTAATTTCATTTAATTAGCGGAGCCATTAGCTTTGGTTTTAGACCAAAACACGACAACCTAAGACCATAACACGACAAAGTTCGTATCTTTTCTTTTCTTTTTCTCACTTCTCTTCCAACTCATTTAAGGCAAAATAACCTTGATCTTAAACGCTGAAACTTAAGCACATTTAAGCAAACAAAACACATAATTAAGCTCAACAATTAACAAGGCAAAACATAGCACAAGACAATAACGTGAAATTCTCTGTTCTCTCTTCTCTTTTCTATCTCCTTTCTCAAACTCAAGAGGCCTCCAAAACTGATTTGGAAGCTCTGAAAACTTCTCATTTCCAGCATGAATAAAACATAAACATGTCAGCAAATTTAAGCAACAACATGAGGCCAAAGCAACACATGCACCTCTCCTATCCCCTTCTCTTTTCTCAACTTCAAACACAACACGAAGGCCATAAATAACTGACTTTATAACCTCTGAAAACACGCCTTTTCAGCACATAAACACCACGAAAAAGGCTCAGCAAAACAAGGCTTCAACATACATGCTTATTATCTTTTCTTTTCTCAAAACTCAACCACAAGTATTCTAGGCCTTAGACTGTACTTATACTTCAGAATCATAAACAATCTCAGCAACCTTAATACATGAAAAAGGCTCAGTTATTATTACAATGAAAAAGCCAAAAGAAAAAAAAAAATGACATCACAAGCATCCTTAACTCTCTTCACTTTAGTCTAAGCCTAAGCATACCACTGGAACTGAAACTTTAATTCTCAAACTAAGATAATTCGGCCCTAAAGGTGTTGAAGAGTTCAGCCATACCTTCTTCGGTTAACGAACGAAAAGAAGAGAAACGGAAACTCGGGTATAGGCCTAGGTCTCGGCGCTCGGCTGTGGCTTGCGGATGAAAAGACTCGGCTTGCTGGTTCTTAGCCTCTGTTTTCTCCGGTCACCTGGTCTGCTGTCACCGGATTTCTCCCGCTCACGGCCGCCGGAAGCTAGGGTCTGACCCGCCGGCAAACTGGTGGCTCGCCGGCGTGGTTCGCTCGTTTTCAGCCTCGGTGGTCCCTCAGCCGCTGTTGCTTGCCGAGAAAGGGCTGTTCTTGGTCGTCGATCTCTGGTCGCCGAACGTGAGAGGTGAAAAGCTTGCCTCTGTCGTCGGATGAAGGGTCTCCACCGTGAGGGCTCGCCTGAAATCTGGTGGCTCGCGTCTCGATAACGAACGCCGGCCTTCGGTCGCTCCTATGTCCGGTCGCTCGGTCCGTCGGATGGTCGCTTATCTCGGCCGCGACAAAAGGGCCCGCGAATTGTTTGGCTCGCCCTCGCCGGAATTGTCTGCTTTCGCCGGAAATCTGGTCGATTGGGGTTATGCACAGCTGGGGGAAAATATGAAATTTAAGAGTGAGATTGAGGGAGAAAACTAGGGCCAACTGTTAGTCTCTCCTGTTGTTGAGATATAAGGAAGGAGAAATTTGGGAGTAGTTACTAGAGCCGCCGATTCTTCCTCCCGCGGGATTGCTGCTTGAGAGTGGGAGAGAGGTGCTGCTGCTCCAGGAAAATGAGGGAGATCGGCTGGTTTTCTTGGGCTTAAGTGAGGTCTGGGCCGAGAAAAAAAAATATGGGAGCTACTGGTGACTTCTCTTGGGCCGAAGCTAGTGGTTACTTGGGCCGATTATTGCTTAGGCTATTTTACTTGGCTTAAAGACGCAGAACGAAATAAATAATATCTCTTTCCAACAGAATGAGATAAACTTTTTAATGAAATCACAAAAACTAATATCCCAAAAAACGGAAGCTTGATAAAAATGGAAGTAAAATCGGTGAAATAATTTGTCCTCCATTCATTCGTTGATTGACACCAAAATTGATTGTAATCAAGTCATGTTGCCGAAAATAAAACGGTCTGAAGGAGATACCATAGATTGGAAAAGAAAAAGTGAAAGATCCGTTTGGCGAGGCAATAAATTATCCCGAAGCTCGTGGACGGCCTGAAATTTTGAAACTTTTTTTTTAGTTGGGTATGTATATTTATAAGTATATTTGATGTTATCTAATGGTATCTCTTGTTTTTCGGATTTATTTTTTTTTCTCTGAAAAATGAAAACAAAAAAAAACCTTATAATGGATGAAAATAAACCTAAACAAAACCTCCCAACAACCGTGTAAATTCTGTGGTGGTGTAGGTTGTTATTTTTTATATTTTTTTTTCATGTTTATCAATTTGTAGTAGATTCATGCTTTAATGGAAAAAAATAAACCTAAACTAAACCTCCCAACAACGGTGTAAATTCTGTGGCTTTATTACATTTTATGAAAGAATTGAGGTATTATCAATGTTTATATCTTCCATAAAAAAAGTATTTTATTTATTAAACAAACCAAAAATATTGTGTTTTGTTTAATATTTTATTTTTCAAAGATATTTAGAACTCAGATCAATAGATAAACAATGAATAAATTGCCNTTCTTTGAGAGGATATTAGGGTCTGTTTTATTCAAATAGTGGTGAAGACGAAGAGTCTGTGAAAAATAAAAAGAAGGTTGCTTTTTTTTTTGGAATTGAGACATTGATGAAGGAAGATATCGGTTGAGAATCAGATCCCTACAAATATCGTTCTTGCCTTTTTTTATTTACGTAGATATTTATGGAATTAATGTTCACACAAAAGTCAAACAAATTATATTTGTGGAATATGAAAAATGATAATTTCATATTATTGGTTCTCTTACCGTTAATGTGGAATATAAAAAACTTCGGTTATGTTTTTGTACTTTGAAGAAATGTCGCTCGTCTAGGGGGTAATTATCTCATTTTACTTTGGCACTTCAAAAAATACTGACTAAGAAAATATAAGGCAACAACACTCAATAATTCACTTAAGCACATAAATCACCAAAATAACTACTCTAGTGCGGAGTTTACTCTATTATAGAGTATAGTTCAACAAAAATCAAGTTTCGTCTCCAACTTTTACTCCACATAATATTTCTTTTTATTTTTATTATTTTAAATTATTTTAACTCAAAAATTTAATTTGTTTACACATATTTAATTATTTAAATTATTATCATCATATAATTATGTTTAAAAAAATTGTGTTAATTGTTTATTCATACTAGTACAGTACCCGTGCGATGCACGGGGTTTATTATCTTCGTCCCTTTTAAAAAGTAATTTTCAGTTAAAATTCAAAGTACTTACTAAATGAAAGATCATGTCACTAATAATTAATAAATTAACAAATATAATAAAAATAAAATTTATATATTATTGGACATTTCTTTATATACAACGTTCATAGTTTGATTCTTTATCACGTCATCGTCGCCACAAATTAGGATTTTCAAACCATTTCTGTTTGTGACACGGGAGACAAAAACATACAACTGACCATGACAAAATACTGGTTTCTTAAGAAATAAGCCCACATGCAAATGATTGCCCTGACTCTTATTTATAATCATGGCGTAAAGAACCATAATGGGAAAGTGGCAATGCTGGAACTTGAAAGGAATTCTAAAATCCGAAGGAAATATAATTATTTTTGTAATCAACATTTTATCACATGCGTGATCGCCAGTGAGTATCTTAAACTCGAGAACGTGAGTGGAGAGCTTTTTCACAACCAATCGTGTCTCATTACACAGACTCATAGAGGAGATATAGTTACAAAAATCAAGTTAAAAAAGATCGGATTAGCTTAATAAATAAGAGCATGCTTATCAATCCAATTATTCAAACCCTTATCCGAGTACTTGTTTTCTAGATATATATTTGTAGCAACCATTAGTAATTTGAAATTTGGATAGTGTAGATTATATAAATCAATAAAATATTGTTATAAAATATAAAGTTCAAAATTGATTTACGTTAGGTTTTTAAGTTGAATAGGATTTATTTTCCTAAATAATGTGATGACGATTGACTTCAAAAAATATGTTTATCTGTTTTTGTTAAAACAAAAAATGTGCAACTTGTTACATGTGTCTCGGATTTTATCGATTATTGAAGATTATGTGTCATATCAATGTGATTTAATGTTTACCAAAATTAATGGAGATTGATACAATTTCATTTGGTAAGGCCTGGATTGATTGAAAAATAATATTTTTATTTTGATATGTATCATTTATCAAATCTCGAGATTTTTTCTGCAATATTTAACTCCAAACAATCCAAAAAAATTGTGAAATTTGTTACCAAAAGAAATCCCAAAAATTATCGGCAAGTGTGTAAATAACTATGAAATGTGTTACAAAAAAAACCGATATTTTAAATGATTTGTTATCAAAATCCGAGATTTGTTATCACAATAAGATCAAATTTGTTACCAAAATCTGAGATTTGTTATCAAAACACGATCAAATTTGTTACCAAAATTCAATTAAATTGGTTGATATGTGGGGCCCATTGATATTACTTATATTAGTAAGTCAACAATTAATTTTTATTTTGAAGATTATGTGCCATATCAATGTGACATAATGTTTACCAAAATTAATGGAGTTTGTTACAATTTAATTTGGTAAGGCTTTTTGGATTGATTAAAAAATAATTTTTTTATTTTGATATGTATCATTTATCAAATCTCGAGATCTTTTCTGCATTTTTTAACTCTAAACAATTCGAAAAAATTATGAAATTTGTTACCAAAAGAAATCAAAGATTATCGACAATATATTGTGTATAAATAACTATGAAGTGTGTTACCAAAAAACCCGATATTTTATAAGATTTGTTATCACAGTAGTTGACAAAAAACGAATATACAGATATACTGTTATTTGTAGAATTAACAATTCCACAGCGGCGTGGCCGACTGGTAAGGCGGCGGACTTTGGTCCCGTACAGTCGAAGGTTCGAAACCTTTCGCCCTAGGGGGCCTATTTAGGCCCTATCACTCCCCTACTATAGGGAAGTGATTGCACTCCCCTACTATAGTTATAGGGGAGTGATTGTCCGAGATTTGTTATCACAATCAGATCAAATTTGTTAACAAAATTCAAGATTTGTTATCAAAATATGATCAAATTTGTTACCAAAATCCGAGATTTGTTATCAAAATCCGATCAAATTTGTTATCAAAATCCAATTAAATTGGTTGACATGTGGGGCCCATTGATATTGCTTATATTAGTAAGTCAACAATTAATTTTTTATTTTGAAGATTATGTGTCATATCAATGTGACCTAATGTTTAATAAAATTAATGGAGTTTGTTACAATTTAATTTGGTGAGTCTTTTTAGATTGACTGAAAAATAATATTTTTATTTTGATATGTAAAATTTATCAAATCTCAATATTTTTTGTGCAATATTTAATTCCAAACAATCCAAAAAAATTGTGAAATTTGTTACCCAAAAATTATCGGCAATATATTGTGTGTAGATAACAATGAAATGTGTTACCAAAAAAATAGACATTTTAAAAGATTTGTTGTCAAAATCTGAGATTTGTTATCACAATCATATCAAATTTGTTAATAAAATCTGAGATTTGTTATCAAAATAAAATCAAATTTGTTACCAAAATCCAAAATTTGTTATCAAAATCCGATCAAATTTGTTACCAAAATCTGATTAAATTGATTGACGTGTGGGGCCCATTTATATTGCTTATATTAGTAAGTTAACAATTAATTTTTTATTTTGAACATTATGCGCCATATCAATGTGACATAATGTTTACCAAGATTAATGGAGTTTGTTACAATTTAATTTGGTAAGACTTTTTGGATTGATTGAAAAATAATATTTTAATATTGATATGTATCATTTATCAAATCTCGAGATTTTTTCTGCAATATGTAACTCTAAACAATCTGAAAAAATTATGAAATTTGTTACCAAAAGAAATCCCAAAGATTATCGGCATTATATTGTGTGTAAATAAATATGAAGTGTGTTACCCAAAAAAACTGATATTTTATAAGATTTGTTATCAAAATTCGAGATTGTTATCACAATCAGATCAAATTTGTTAACCAAATCCGAGATTTGTTATCAAAATAAGATCAAATTTGTTACCAAAATCCGAGATTTGTTGTCAAAATCCGATCAAATTTGTTACCCAAATTCGATTAAATTGGTTGACATGTGGGGCCCATTGATATTGCTGATATTTTTTTTCCCAAAACGATAGATGTACTATATAAATAAGACCGCACAAAGTGCGAAAAAAAAGCACCCAAAGATTGAATAATACAACCAAGGACTGATAAAACTGGTAGGCTGATCCAAAGGATCGCCTAGAGCCTAAGCTAGCAAAGCTAGAATACCAAACTCGCAACCACACAAATTAACAACTAAAACTACAACAAAAATTACGAGAAGATCCCAACGGGATAATACCCGAGTGTCTGATCCCAACAGGATAATAAGTTGACACTCGGGCTCATAGGGGCTAAATGCCCAAACAAAAAACACATGACATAAACACACAGGTAACGCGCCCAAACCAAAACACAAGCCTACTACAACACAAAACAAAGAAAAAACACACAAGGCCCTTCCACGACAAATCAAACTGCCTCAACCAACGGAGAACAGTCGAAACAAAGAATAGTCCAAGTCCCGGGACGACTTCTGAAACTGCCACAAGGCCTATACAAGAAACCGAGCCCGAAACACAAACCAGACTTCGAAACAACCCGCCTCAACAGGAGGAACAACCGAACCGCACCCATTCTAGCACTACCCGAGCACGCCTAACACCACTAGCCGAGCTAAGGAACACTAGAACCCCGCCCGTCTAACACCACTAGCCGAAACAGGGGGGCAGCTCGGCCCTCAACTCCGACACACCAACAAAGCTTCCCAACGCAAAGAAAAGCCGCAACTGCCGTAGCCCCGACCCACCCTCTGAAACCGCACTGCACTCAACAACACCGCTGACCTTCGAGGACCAAAGACCAGAAGTCCCACCGGAAAAGGCGGAGCCGATCGGAAAGCCCCAAACTCAGGCAAGCCACATATCGAGGCCAAAACCGCCAACAAAAGCAGACACACCAGCGATTGAGGTGAGACCGCCCATCCCAGACCAGTCGGAGGCTCACCGGGACCAAACAACACCCAACGCAGGTCCGCCGGCGATGGAGGGCACAACTCAAGTCATAGACCATACAGCAGCATCGGAGGCCCGCGATTGCAGGGATGGGTCGAGCGGTTTGAGGCGACCGCTGGCCTAAGTCACTCCGTTGCCGAGGAAGGCACGATTTCTCTAGATTGAAGAGGCGAAGTTGAGCGCATTTGGGGGTAGGGTTTTTTGCGAGAGAAAAAAGAGAAAATGAGTAAAAAACCTTATATTGTTGATATTAGTAAGTCAACAATTATTTTTTTATTTTGAAGATTATGTGACATATCAATGTGACATAATGTTTACTAAAATTAATGGAGTTTGTTACAATTTAATTTAGAAGGCTTTTTGGATTAATTAAAAAAATAATATTTTTATTTTGATATGTATCATTTATCAAATCTCAAGATTTTTTCTGCAATATTTAACTCTAAACATCCGAAAAAATTGTGAAATTTATTACCCAAAAAAATCCAAAGATTATCAGCAATATATTGTGTGTAAATAACTATGAAATGTGTTACAAAAAAAAAACCGATATTTTAAAAGATTTATTTTCAAAATCTGAGATTTGTTATCACAATCAGATCAATTTGTTAAGAAAATCCCCGAGATTTGTTATCAAAATAAGATCAAATTTGTTACCAAAATCTGAGATTTGTTATCAAAACCTAAACAAATATGTTACTAAAATCCAATTAAATTGGTTCACATGTTTCAAATTGCACCCACTTTTTACCACATGCAGGCACTATGTGAAGTTCCTCTACCAAGTTCCATCATAAAAGTCTAAATTTTGAAAATATGTAGTTTATTTGCTAGGCCAATTTTGTACTTTTATCTTCCTAACAAATGAAATAATTATCTGCCACCATGTCTTGTTTGTTTTTCCTAGAGAGACATACATACATACATGTATGGTTTGACGAGTGAACTAAAATTAGGAAATTGTAAACAACAGCCTTCAAAAATGGTACCAAACTGCACCTGTTAACTATGCAGAATAACAATGAACATGCACCAATCCTAGTTTCTTTGTGGGCTAAAGGGGATAGATGGTCCAAATGCCAAATAAATAAAAAGTGGCTCAATTAATTACAAATGCATGCATTTTATATTTCACAATTTCTAATTTCCTGCTCACCTAATAATGGTCAGTGCGAGACTAAAGGCTCTGTATCGTTTGCTATTTTCGCTTTTATGCCGAAATGTGTGCAAAGTTATCACATATTCTTACTCTTTTTGTTCCATCAACGCGTTCTCATTGTGATATGGTCAGAGACATTATTAATAGGACAAAGGGATATAATTTGGCAGGATTAGAAAAGTGTTGATCAGATTTTCAACATAATCACAATTCGATAAATCAGTAATTAATATTTTCTTTATTAATAAATGTTTTTAATGAGACATAATCACAATTACTTGTCTTGTGGTGTGTAAACAATAAAATTACTAATTTATTATCATGCATAAATTAATATGCTTTCATCCTAAAAGTAACATTGGAAACTTGTAATATCATCATGGAGTTTTGATCGCCTTTCTTTTCTTCTTAAAAAACTATATTATTTAACTTAGGTTCCATATATTTGATATGTATATATAGTTCACCATGATCATATTCAAATTAAATAATTCAACATTGGAGATTGGCTAAAGTAAAATTTTAATCCTTTATGTTTTTAAGCTTAATTCAGCTGGATGAATAGTACGTACAAGATCATGGCTGACCAGTCTCGTGATTTAATTTAAAAATGTCCTCTTAAGCTCGGACCCTACAAGCGTACAATTCTAGTTGGGTGCTCATTTAATTACTATGGGACAAATTTTGTCCAACATTAGGATATATGTATCATAAATTAAACTATTGAAAACTTGTACGTACTAATACTCATTTATATATATTATGAAAATCATATTTTTATTACTAATATTTCTATTATTTTTTTAAAAACATAATATTAATTTGAGTATGTAAATATTTATATTTATTACCAATTATAGTTGTCTAATAATTAGACATCGTAAAAACAATAATATTGAACACTACAAGAAAATGATGAAATTTTAATGGGGACTTTCAATTTAAATTTATTTCAATGGAATTCCAATAGATATTCGAATGCTATTATTTCCGTATGATTTTTTCATTGGATTCCAACAAAAATTTTCTTTCGGAATAAATTTTTCATTGGAATTTCCGTTGAATTTCGACGATTTTAACGGTAGATGGAAATAAAAATTACAACGAAATTACATATTTCAACGAAAATTTTTATGGTAAAAAACCGTTGAAAAAATAGTCGTTGGATATATCGAATTGCATCTAAAATTCCAATGGAAAGCTCATTCCAACAGAATATTTTCGTTGGAATTTCCGTTATGATTACATCGGAAGCTATACCATTAGAATTTCCATTGGAATATATTGCCGTAAAATTTTTCGTTGGAATATCAGTGTTCTAGAAGTCGCTAGACACTGAACCAACGCCTAGCGCCAAGAGCTCCTATGCGGTGCCTAGAAATCAAAATTAAATACCTTATTTTTTATTTATTTTAACTACCTACAAAATAAATTATCTCAACTTATAATAAACCAACACACCCAAGTCCAAATAATAATATTAATATATTATAAAAAAAATATGATAACAAAATAATATATCTAGTATTTAAAAAAATGAAAAATTACCGCCTAGCCGCCTGGCCGATTTTTAGTACAGAGTAGAATATTACAATTNTCCAAAATCTCTTGATCTTCTAAGAAGAATGATCTAACATACTATATATCTCATTTGCAATAATTTAAAGAAATTAATTAATAATTAAAAGTATGATAATAATTAATATGGTTGGAGAGAAATCTAAAAGGTGTACTCACTCTTTATATATTTATTTTATTTTATTTTATTTAACATGTTCGAACAGACACATGCAATGTATCTTGTTCCTATTTCCTTTAGCTGAAAATGACCACTGTACGACTAGTGCGCAAGAGTTCTGATTTATCCGAAATGCGTGAGACAATCTCGGATCATGATGTTTTATAATATTTTATTTTATTTTTCTTCTCAAATAGGTGTTTCATATTATCCAAAAATGCAACTCATATACCGAAACAATTTTAACTCAATTGAGTTTGGTCCAAATTTTCTTTCACTTCAAGTTAAAAAGGATCGAATTGCATACACATTTCTTTTTATAGAAACAATCCATTATAATGCAATCTAAGTACTCCAATTTTTACTATATATATAAGTAGGGCTAGCATGCATGTTGAAATCTTGATCCAGTAAGATTTTCCATGCAAATTTCAATTTGGTCTTCTGTTCACGGGATACTGTAGATTTGGAAATTTTGTTCGCACTACGTACCAACTGGCATTGCCACTTAGCATTCACTAAGCAGAAAATGCCACGCATTAAACTTACTACCCATGATATAAATAATTCAAAATGTTCACCTACTCACCTTGTCCATATTAAATATATGCCTGTAAATCATGTTTAAAATTTCCTGATATATATTAATTTCAACTGTATATTTATAATTTATCGTATATGGTATTTAATCAATTGTGACATCATTGATAAATATAAAAAAATTAAAAAAGGTCCCCATATAAAAATGAAGTAGTATATGTTGGATCCTTAATCCAACATTGGGCTGATATGTGAAATAATTATTGTATTGTGGTTGTCAAATAAAGAAGCCCAAATAAAAGTGATCAATTAAGTTTTAAAGTTATTGGGCTTTAAAGTATCAATAGGGTGTGGGCCTTTAATGTGTAGAAACTAATGGGTTTTCTCTATTTTAATGATGGGCTAAAATAGAGATGCCCAATGTAAGTTAATAAAGGGTTGTGGTCCCTAGGTCATACGACGTATCGAAATCACAACTCTTCTACATCCCATCGACAGAGAGGTTACAGAGAAAGCTAAAGGGTTCTCTGACAAGTACACGATCGTATAGACCTAGAAGGCCAAATCCCCAAATCAATCACTTATGGATTCAGGTACGCTTCCGCTATTCAGTTTCTATTCTCAATTATTCAATACGAAAGCTCCTGGATTAAAGCAATGGTTTTTGCATAAAGTTAATTCTAACAGCATAAGCTCTTAGGCCCCCACGTGCGCAAAATAATAACACGGTGCCAAAGAAGAACTCAAAAATCCACAGCGAGTAGATGACGATTTTGACCTTCGACAGACAGCTATGCAGATACATTAAAACCTCCCAAGTTCAGAGGTTGTAGAGTGAAAGAAACCATCAAAATAAAGGTAAAGCTTTCCCACATAACAACATAATAATAAAATAAAATAAAATATTAATTTATTATTAAAAGAAGCGCAACGGGACAAAATGCTACGTGTCCTTAAATCGTTACGATTCACGTATAACGCTTTTAGGATTATGCTCTGAGAAACTAATGAAAAAATAAACTTGGCCATCCTGACTTTTAGGAAAAAGATAAAAATTAAAAATTCCGCCTAACCAACGCTTAAAGTCGCCTGTCTTATCTTGTATCCACGTGTTTTTCACACCTGTTTGATTACGGCAACCACGTGTTTTTCGGACATCCATACTGTCTCGGCTTATTATTGACCGCGATTGACTTAATATGGAGTATATATAATTAGATCCTCAATTAAAATTTTTATTAATACGAGACACGCGTGTATTGCACGGGTGTTTGATAAACTTTTTTTTTCTTAAAATTTAAAATTAATGAGAAAAAATAGTTGAAAATTTAAATACTTTTTATAAAAAATATATATTATTATATATTTTCGTATGACACTTATTACTTGTGTAATTTACCTGTGTTATATAATAATAATTTTCTAACTTGTGACATAACTACATTAAACATAAATATATTGATTGAGAAATAATTTTATTTTTCAATTAATTTTAATAAATAATTTTATTAATATTATAAAGATAAATATAATTTATTTATTTTATATATACAATATGGATGTCAAATCGAAGCTCATCAAAAGATGATTAATTTGATATATTATATATGCAAAACCGATAAGAAATACAAAAGTTATCAACTTTTCACATACATTTACAATTCAATGATTATATAATTTTTGAAGGGATCGGATTAAGCAATATTGATATAAGATTCTTAACATTTGATTGATATAGGATTCTTACCCCGTGTAATTTTTGTGGTTCAATATTGATAGTTTCACACCAATTTACAGGAGATAAGAATCCTATTTATTTTGGTGTTGGAGATGATGGGATTAAACAAAGATCCTATTTATTAAGTATTTTATTTTAAGCCATTAGGGAATGTAATTATAGTATGTCCAAACCTATTTATTTTGGAATATAATTGTATTAATTTTTATCCAAACCAAAAGTCGAAGCATGTAATGTTGCCAAGTAAGCTTCCGAAGCGTGCGAGCCAGCCATTTAGGCTCAGCACGTTTTGAAATTATATGTAATTTTGTGGTTCAATATTGATAGTTTCACACCTATTTACAAGAGATAAGAATTCTATTTATTTTGGAGTTGGAGAGAATCGGATTAAACAAAAATCTTATTTATTAAGTATTTTATTTTAAACAATTAGGGAATTTAATTATAGTATGTCCAAGCCTATTTATTTTGGAATATAATTAGATTAATTTTATCCGAACCAAAAGCCGAAGCATGTAATGTTGACAAGTAAGCTTTCGAAACGTGCGAGCCAGCCATTTAGGCTCAACACATTTTGAAATTATATTAAAGGAGGGATTCTAGCTGATATGAGTTGAGTTTTATATGTTATATGTATTAATATAATATTAATAACATTTTAATTATTAGTAAAATTAAACAATATATATAAATTATTTAATAACATATGAATCTATATGTTGATTGCGTAAAACGTAATGAATAATTCACTTTTATAATTTTGAGTGATCACGATCAGTTTAGTCGAAAATATATTAAAATTATTACTATAATAATTGTTTATGTGATTTTAAGAGGTCTTTTGTACCATTAAAATCAATTAGCGTATTTAAAAAAATATTATCGCTAAATGAAATATAAAAAGGATAATATTAGTTTTATAATAAATAACTTGAAAAAAAATTCATTATAATTTAGTATAATTATGAAGTTAGTGCGAAATATAATTAGTTGGTTTTAAAATTATATAAGAGAATAGTTAAAAAAAAATGTGATTATTAATTAAATAATGTAACATATAACAATTTATTACCATAATTAATTAAAAAGAAAGAGTAGAAATGAAAATTTTGTCATAAATTTTTTTCCTACAATTATATAAATAGTTAGAGAGAGAGGGAGATATGATTCACATGACGATCAGTGCAGTTTAATTATTTTATTATGCGTATCACAAATGTCGTTGGATGCAAGGCGAAGCCGCAAAGCCAAGTGTTCCCTTAACTGGGCTGCAGTCTGAATAGAATTCTACATAGCCATTTATTTACATTCAAAATTATTGATTTGGTATGTTTTAATCTAAGTCTCAAATAATTAAGAATATAAAACGTTTAAATAAATCATTTGTTACGTTTAAATAAATTTGTTTGTTATTTTTAATCTATCATCCCCTCCCAATTCCTAAATCATGTTTCAACTAAGCACTTCAAATAAAATATCATAAAGTTGTTTGTAAAACTACAATATTTTAATTTGAGCATTGGCCAAGGTACGTACCAAAAACAATTAAAAATAAATAAAAGTAGTTAAAACTTAAATGTAAAAATTATTAAGGACCCCTACAGATTATTAATTAATAGTGAGAGAGAAGGTGCAATAGAATCAGATAAGGTCCAATCCTCGGTAACGTGTCGCATTTTAAACGCAGATCTTAGTGGGTCCCACCGCCCCTCATCAAAATCACAACCATACAACACTGTTGCCCTTTCCACGCCTCTATATAATGCAGCACCCGCCAACTATTTCCAAATAATAAAAGAAAAAAGAAAATCAAATTCTGTTTTCAACTCAATTTGTTATCCTCGTTTCAATTCATCAGGAAAGAAGAAAAAAAAGAAAAAAAAAAAGAAGAAAATGAAAAAAAAAAAGAAAATGGGCATAGCAGAAACCGACCCGCGTTCACAACTGAGTCTGCCACCGGGTTTCCGGTTCTACCCGACTGACGAGGAGCTTCTCGTCAACTATCTCTGTCGAAAAATTGCAGGACACCATTTTTCTCTACAAGTCATTGGGGACGTCGATCTCTACAAATTTGATCCTTGGGACCTTCCAAGTAAGTTTTCAATTCATTATTCACTTTTTTTTTTGTCATTTACCATATCATAGTAAAATATTTTATCAATTTATTTAATTCTTTTAATATTGATCAGGCAAGGCTTTGTTTGGGGAAAAGGAATGGTACTTTTTCAGCCCAAGGGACAGAAAATACCCCAACGGGTCGAGGCCCAACCGGGTTGCCGGGTCGGGTTATTGGAAAGCCACGGGCACTGACAAGATTATTACGAGCGAGGGTAGAAAAGTGGGGATAAAAAAAGCACTTGTTTTCTACGTTGGAAAAGCGCCAAAGGGTAGCAAGACCAATTGGATTATGCACGAATACAGACTCTCTCAACCTCCAAACAAAAATGGAAGCACCAGGGTATTAATTAATTAATTAATTACTAATTAATTAATTGCTATTTATTGTAATATAGTAATTTTGCATGACCAAGTCAATGAGTTTCATACAATTAATCCACANTGGATGATTGGGTACTGTGTCGAATTTATAAGAAAAGCTCGAGCGGCGGACAAAAGATGAGTTACGGCGTGGAGACAAAAGATTATAGTCATGACTCATCATCCTCGTGTTCATCCCAATACGACGACGTCTTGGAAGCTTTACCCGAAATCAAAAACAGTTATTTCCCCTTGCCGCGATTGAATTCTTTCAGGAATCTTCAGCAACTGGGCTCGGGGGACTTTGAATGGGCCACGCTAGCTGGGATTGGGCCCGAGCAGGATGGGCCTCAGCAACAGCAGGGGAGTTTAATAAAGAACATGGGCTCGCAAAATGGTGTATGTGCCGCTGTAGGTGGGCCCGAAAATCAGAACCCGGCGGCGTTTGTGCAGAATTATTATTATTCTACATCTGCTGACCCGTTTGGGGCCCGATACCCGGCCCAACCTGGTGGTGCGATGGGACTCTGGCAGTGAACAAGTCGTTAAAGAGTTTTTACTTACTGCTGTATTGTATAGGACGATTGTGTAATTCCTTGGGTTTGAATTGTATAATATTTTTTATTGTGGACCTCTACAGAATTTAATCTTAATTAATTACGAGGGGTGCAACGTATTTTTTGTAATGGTTAAGTAGTAGTCATTTCGAGAATGTAATTTGTGGTTAAATATTTTTTTTTTTTTAAGAAATTAGGACTACCCTAGCCCATGGCCATTTAGGCCAGGCTCAAAGTCCAAGGCCTCAACTGTTTATTTTAACTGGATAAATCCCTCTCAGTTTAAAATTTTTAAACAAAGATATATCTGCCCAAGTTTTATTTAAACATCCATTCTCTCTCCAAAGTAACAATCTCAAACAATCTAATTTTCCTTATTTTGAATTCGAAAATATATTTAATTGGATATACTAATGATGGGCTAGCTAGAAAAACTTTAATCCAAAAATGACTTAAATAGAACGAATCACAATTAAAAATCAAGGGAAATCAACATTATCTCCTAGTTGTCCTAAAATCGTACAAGCTTTCACATCATCAACTTCAAAAAAATTCCTTCTAAATAATAATAATAATAATAATTAATAAATAAATAAATAGTACTCTTATTCCTACACAACCAGACAAAGGTTTGTTTATTGAGTAGCTTTACTGCTGATTTGGCAATTATTTATGCATTTACATAATTAGGAGTCATATAATAGATGAATGATTGTCAAACGATCGTTGTAATAACATCACCATTATTTTAGGCAAAGTTTACATAGAATCTATATATGTAATTGCTAGCAAGTCATTAAATAAAACTTAATAAATTTTACCTATGTAGTAAATCATTAAATCTATACTTATATAATAAGAATTAACATTTATTTAAAATAGTAGGTCAAATTATGGTCAATGTCGGATTTGCATTAAATATTTTTCAAAACTGGTAAGTTTTTGTCCTTTTCACACTTCTCATTAATTATGTTTTTTTCACACTTCTCATTAATTATGTCATTTTCACACTTCTCATTAATTATGTCCTTTTCACACATCTAATTAATTCATTAATTACGACATAATTATCATAAATCATTCCATCTGTGCTTTAAAATGTATAGCGATCTGTTATGACCTTATCCCATTGATATTTCCATGAAACGTCCTTATCGCGTTCTATTTTTTAGTAACCACTCTATATCAATAACCGGATATTTGATTAATGATAGCACACGTCTTTATTTCAAAGAGCGGATATTCTTTAAGCTTTAATTAATCTGAACTGATTGCCTTGACTTTTCAATTTTTAAAACTCTTTTTTTAAATATTTCGGCTTAAGATTTGGATTTCATTATACAAGTCACCGGATTGTTTGAATGAAAATGAATGAAAAGAACACCAAAAACAGGTAGCTTTATTCAGATAACCAATCATAAAATATTAGTTTGTTCACCAAAAAGAGACAAATCCTAGAAATCCTAAAATATTAGTTTGTTCACAAATCCTAAAATATTAGTTTGTGCACCAAAAATATTAGTTTGATTTTTAGGATTTGTCTCTTTTGAAAATATTAGTTTGTGATAATGAGGAATTGCCAAATAATCAAACGCATAATGTTGTGTATAAGGAGGTTTTTAATAATATATGATTGTTACCGAACTTTTTATGATTCAACAATGTTCCTATGTATTTTAATGATTTCAATTTCGATCCTAATGCACGTGAGATTATATTATTCTTCCAAATTTACATCCCGTGCATCGCACGGGTTACGTACTAGTAAAACTTAATAAGTAAAACTTAATAAATTTTACCTATGTGTCATTAATCTACCCTATACCATTAATGATAAAATATTTTATTACACATTTTTTTTGGGTTAATTAAAATTAAAACCGTTATATTTTATATTAATCGCGTAATACTTATACTAGTGTATATCCCGTGCGATGCACGGAAGAGTTCATATTTTAAACATTTTTTAGACTTTATTTTAAATATAATTATTTATATTTTTCACATCTCGTCTATTATGAAAATAAAATAAATACAATCAATGAAAAATATATAATATTAAATACTTTTCTTTATACAATATTTTTTATTTAAGGAATATTATTAAACCTTACGGTTTTGATTTGTTTTTTTAAATCAATAATCCAAAATATATGATTGTTAACGTACAAAAAATAATGGAAATAATTCAGACTTTAAAGTAAAGCTATTTTTTATTATTTTACAAATAAAAATCTTTCAAATTTTGTTGAATTTAAAAAAAAAAATTAGCAAGTTTGATAATGAGTTAAATCAAGTTATACAAATGATTAAATAGTTAAAATGTTATATTAATTATATTTTAAGAAATCCGATTATATAAAAATGGGTAAAAAAATATTATAATAATTAGTTGGTTAGGATTGTGATTATATGGAAGTTAAAATAAAATGAAATGTAACCAAAAAATTTGTTTGTGGTTTTTTCCTAAATGTTTGAATTTAAAAATCTAGTAACCAAATTTACATTATATCACGTAAGGAAAAAAATAAATAATAGATATTTATTAAAGAGATAAATCAATAATATTTATCACTTAGATAATAAATAATAAATATTTACATGTAAAAAAATAAATAATAATATATTTAAAAATATAAGTCAGAATTTTAAATAAAGTAAAAGGAGGGATAACTCATTTTTAAAAAAACGTTTCTAAATGTTTAATCTATTGATAAGTATCTCCATAAGAATAATCATACCATTTTAATTTTAAAAAAATTGGCAAGTTTGTTAGAGAGATAAATCCGGTTAGACAAATTATTAATTTGTTAAGATATTATATTAATTGTATCATAGAAAATCGGTTAGATAATGTAGATAAAAAAAAAAATATAATACTAATTAGTTTGTTAGAAATGTGATATTGAAAACCAAGATAAAATGAAATTTACCCAAAAAATTGTTTGGAATCTTTTCCTTTAAATGTTTGAATTTACAAATTTAATACCGAAATTCTATTATATCACATAAGGAAAAAATAAATAATAAACGTTCATTAATATATTAAAATATGTAATTTTGAATTTCATATAAAATAAAAGGTATGCTTATTCAAATTTATTTTTAAAATAAAAGTTATGATAAACATTTATATATTGATTCTCTTTCAAATATATTAATAAAATAAAAATATAAATCTAAACAATTTTTGAAACAACCAAAAAAATCGGATTGATTGCATAAAAAAAGGAAGTGAAATCAGATTTGAATGCTAAAATCGGAACACCTTACCAAATTGAATACTAAAAGATTCGATTTGATTGTTACCTAATTGCATGGGCTAAAAAAATTCAAAAAAAAAAATTTACGAATTGAAGAAGCGGGAAAAACACTATATTGAAGCGGGAAAACGAAATGATTATTTTCGGATTGTTCAAATAATTTTTCTTCTCCGTATTATATAGTAATAGATTTGTTACTGAATTATATAATAGTTACTATCACAATTAGCAATTATATTTTACACTAAATGATATATGAAAGTCACATAAACATAAAAGATGACATTGCAAAAATTTTTGTTCAAGTTATATATTCTAAAATTAATATTATATTTTTTATCTAATTACGCGATTGTTTTTTTAATATCATAGTAAAATTTCTTAAAATAGCATAACCAATTGTTAATAAATTTAATACTTTTTAGCTAATTAATTGGGCATGATCTCTCAAAATTACAAAAATTACATTATTTATTTTTATTTTATGCAATTAATATAGTGATTCATATGCAATCAAATTGTTATGTACTATAACAAATGATCAAATCGTAAAACATAATATTATTATCTAACTTATAATTTTGATACCATTTGCATAAATATAACTTATAATACTTTATGTTTAAAATATAATACTATTACATAACTTATAATTTTAATATTATATGAATACAATTAATAACTTATACTATTTAACATATGTGCAAATGTACATAGTCGAATACTAGTTAAAAATGTAAACTCGTACAGATATTATTGTGGCTGTCGTTTTCTTCATCATATGAGAAGGCCTAGCTATGGTACAGTTTAATGCCACACCTGCAATCTTGAAAAATAATGAGCATTTATGTGTAGCTACATCAGAACTTATTTTATCTACAATCTTACAAAAGGAGGATTAATTTGTCAAAAATTGCAAAGACAAAAAAGCTTCATGTTTGTAATATTTTTAATGGCAAAATTGCAATCAAAATTACTTATTATATAAAAAATTTAATAAACATAAATTTTAGTTATTTAAAAAGGTAGAGCTCTAAATTTATATTAAATCTTCTCATTAGAGTTTTTTATTTTTTATTTTTTATTTTTATTTAAGTCTCCACGTTTTGCTAGGATTTGTACTCTAATGCCTAAAGTCGATGGAATCTAATTGTATTGTGACCTATTTATTCACCCTTTTAAAAATATTAAAAAAGATACCATAAAAGCGGAATCATACAATAGTCATTATGATTAACTAAATCGTTTNATGTCTCACGTAGAAGGTAATGCCACTAAAGTAAAAAAATTACATCGTGTATCTAACCCCTTTTAATTTTATAGAGCATTTAAATACGAAAAAGAAAGTATGTAAACAACACATAAAATACATAATCAAGAGACTCATCCAATACGTGGCCGCAAAAAAAGAAAAAAAAAGAAAGAAAAAAAAGGCACATAATAGAAAAATAAAAAAGTATTATCAACAAGTAGGATGTACCACTATTCATGAATAGTAATGTGAATAGTATAATGGGTATGGGATGTTAATAATTTGTGTAGAATTATCGGTAGAATTTGCTTATAAAAGGCACACCAAATGAAGTGAAGGAATAAATATTCAGAAGAAGTAAGAAATATTGAGTATAAGTTATATCCAGTTTTTCTATTGTGTTCTTTATATTTTCTGTTTTCATAACACGTTATCAGCACGAGCGCTCTATCCGGTAAGAAAGGT